TAGGTATACAACACAATTACATTTCTCATTGGGAATTGTACCTTTACCTTTTTGGGGCCGGGGATTTAGCTCAGTGGTTCCACTGCCTGCCTCACAAGCACAAGGTCCCAAGTTTGATCCCCAGTTCCAAAAAAAAAAAAAAAAAGAAAAAAAGGATTATACCTTTTTCTTTCACAACCAAAACATGCTTATCTATGGTTGATCAGAATTAATTTCAAAATTTCTTAAAGGTTGGCAAGGTATTTAGTGCTTCAGACTTATATTCTTGTTGGATTGGCTGCTTGATGATCGCTCTCGTTCTTTAGTAATTTCCATCTGAATTTTGACTTTGATTTTCTCCCAATCTATTTGGAGCTAAAACAGAAAAAAGGAAGAAAGGTGCTTATATAGTATAAGACATTTTAAAAAGTCTAAAATGACCAAGAATCAGCAAAAATAGAATATATGACTTCTAAAATAGAAGAAAATAGAGAAATAATAAAATAATAAAATAGAGAAAAAAATGAACATTGAAGAAAACATAATAGTGCTCAAAATGATGAAATATCTTTAAGACTAACACCTAGAAGACAATTATATAATAAAAAGCAGACTTTCAATGTGATATAAAGGACATAAATCTAGTTGTACCTGTTTATAAAAGGCATATAGATACAGTGCCATGGAGTCTTAGGATTCCATACAGTTCCTCAGGGACAATTGAGGGGGAAGATAGATGGCTCTCATCCAAATGAGGAAACATGGACAGAGCTCTGTCCACCAAGCTGTTTCCAACAAGTCAAGAATTTACATCTATATTAAAATTCTCATTAGAAGCCTAGCTATGAAAAAAGATAAGGAAAACATTGTCTTCCCCTGAGCACATTCTATACAAATGTCTGCTCTGCAACAACTCCTAAAGTGACAAAAAGATACAGCAGTCAGCAAGACAAAGATGAGATATTAGAAGAAGCAGAGGAAAGGCAAGACTGGGAGACACATACAAAGGATAACTGAGAAGTGGTAACTTTTTTATATGTTTGTGTCCTTTCTGTCCATGATGCAATCTCCCCTCCCCTAGCCCAGACCTACCCCTTTGCCAAGTTCATCAGTCTTGAAGATAGGAAAGGACTCTGCCTCTGAGTTCCACGAGAAATTTCTTTAGAAAAATACAGTCTACTGTTTAACAAAATTTTGAGGTCACTTATTTGGGAATGTGTGTCCTAAGGCAAGACATGGGAAAAATTGGGTCCTAGATTAAACTAACTGATTTACTATGAAACAAACTCAGTCCCCTTAGACTGAGTCAGAGGTAAATAAGTTTTCATTTCCAGGTACAAGAATTGAGTAATATTAAACTGTACTGAAGCATTACTTTCTATTTAATAGATTTATCTTAAATAACTGAGAGAATAACCTTAATAAAAATTCATGTGTCTTCTTTTGTGCTGGAAGTTGGCAGAATTAAGTTTTAGGTTCTTTCTCCTTCAGTATCCTATATCTAAATTTCTATAAAGTAATTTTTGAATATTTTGGGTTATCTTTTTAAGAAAATACTAATCTCAGGCCGGGGAGTTAGCTCAGTGGTTCTGCTGCCTGCCTCGCAAGAACAAGGTCCTGAGTTCAATCCCCGGTACAAAAAAAAGAAAATACTAATCTCACATATTTATCTATAACACATAAAGTAAATGAATTAATACACTTCCTCTTACCCTAGGAGATAAATGTTTGTGTTTAAAAAAAAACAAAACAAAAAACCTCTGTGCTGAGATGCAAGTGATAGATTGTTGAAAAGCAGAGCCAAAGATAGATTATTTGAAAGACTCACTTTTCAATCGGGACACAACTTGGTATTTTTAAATGGCAAAACACTTGTTTCCATGTCTAACAAAACATTCATAAAGAGGAAGACAAAAGTTGATGGATGTCCTGGACTTCTTCCAGCCTTAAATTGACTTACATATGTTTCTCAAATCAATCACAATAAAACCATGTACTGATGATACGCTGAACAACAGTTTGGTTGCACCAGACATCTGTCAACTAAATTGATGACAACTATATTAGTTACTTGTAATACAAATGAGGGCATCATTTGATGGCTAGCCTACAGAAAATAAATGCTGCACTTCCATTTTGGCATTTATCCAGTTTTAGAACAGTGTTTTACAGCTAATTTAGCCCTTGGGTAATATTTTGAGTGGATTTTAGATAAAGATATTCTTTGATAGTTGTGAAGTGATTTCTACATTAAAATCCATCCTTTTTACTATATGGAGTTGCCAGTACTATTTGGTACTTCTTATTTTGGTCCTTTGTCAATTCTTATTCACACAGAAGCAATTTAGTTCCTGTCCTAAAGTCAGCTTCCTGCTTTACAGAGAATAGAATAACAATCAGGCATGAGTTCACTTAATTCTCCTTCCTTGTATTCAAACTTACCTGTACCTGTACTCATGCCTCTCTTCCCCTTTTGTCTCGCGCTAACCTCTTCACACTTCTCAAATACCAGCTTCAACTTCTCTAGACCACTGCCTTCAATTATTACACATTCAATTTCCTTCTCTTCGCTGGCTCCTTCTCATCTTCTTTGCCTCTCTATTTCCCTGCAGGCTATCCACCCTTATTCTCCTTATTCCGGACTCTCATTCTCTCCAAAGACTACTGTAATACTACTGACTGTGTTGCCACTGCACTTCAGAAACGGTTTTTCCTTTTGTGATGCTGGTGATGGAACCCAGGGCTTTTCACATTCCAGACATTCTCTACCACTGAACTTCATCTCCAGCCCCAGAAGCTATTCATTAGAGACACTATCAGCTGTTTTTACTTCTTATCTTATATACTGTCTCTGTATGCTTCAATTATTCAACAAACATTTAGCACTTAGTATATTCCAAGTATTATCCTAGGTTCAAAGATTCAGCAGTGAATAAAATGATTAAAAACCACGATCTTATGGAGAGATAATAAAGACAGATAATAATAGAAGAAAACAGGTAATACGCATAATAAATAAATAGAAGTGCTAACTTTTATATCTGAAGTTATCTTTCAAGTTATCCTCTTGATCATAAACTTCCACGCTGAGAAGTTTGATAATGACATCCATTTTCTTAACATGTTATAAAGACGTCAATGTCTGGCCTCAACCAACATTCTAACCACCTCTGACCCAGAGCAGCCACTCAGCATTCCTCCCCCTTCTTTCAAGAGTCCATATGTTTTTTCTTACTATCATATCCTTTAACTGACTAATAAAATATTACGATAATTTTGTGCAAAAAATTTAAGTTCCCATTTTTTTGAAAGCAGGATTTTAACAGGAAAAAGTGATCATGTTACTTCCCACTATTTAATATGCCTCAGAAATCCTAAAGTCAATCTCTGCTACTTTTAATCTTTTTCACTTCAAAGCCTCCCGTCTGCCTGGAACATGTCCATTCCCATGCTATATCCACTCCCAATCAGCTGCTACTGTGCATCTGTTAGAGAGCAATTATTTTCTCTGCTTTTTAGACAAAAAAAAAAAGGAAAGAAAGAAAGGAGGAAAGGAGAAAGGGAGGTAGGAAAAGGAGGAGGGAAGGAGGGGGAAAAGGAGGGAGGGAGAAAGGGAGGAAAGGAAAAAGAAAAGGGAAGGAAGGGGAGGGGAGGGAAGGTTAAGTAAAAAAGTTTTTAGGTAAAGCTTAATTTTCATCTTAAAATACTATTTTCCAATTTTCAGTTAACTTCCAAATGACATTTAAGAAGGAAAAGTAGGAAACTATAATATAATGCCATAGACAGTCAAAGTAAATAGCTTCAGGATGAAAGAAAACAAAATACCTAAGAAAACCATGTTGATCTGGTCATCCCACTTTGAAAATTTCTGTTACTTCTATGACTGAAATAGTATATTTCCTAACAGTTGAATATATATATCGGTATATATATCAGTTAAGTATTTGCTACTTAAAATATTACTTCATTTAGTATAAGGACTATATTTTCTATATTCTCAAAAGTATCTAATGCACCGTGAGAGGCAGAGGCAGGAAGATCACAAGTTCAAGCCCAGCCTCAGCAACATGGCTACTTACCAAGACCCTGTCTCAAACAATTTTTTAAAGCACTGGAGATATAGCTCTGGGTGAAGGTCCTGGTTTAATCCCTACTACTACAAAAAAATGTATCTCGTATGAAAATATTGGAAAAATACTGATGATGAGATCCAGGAAACAAAGTAGGCATTAATCTGCTTTAAATTATACAATAAAGTAAATTTAAGGTGGGTCCTCAGGGTTTTGTTTTATTTTACAGTGCTGATATGGAATCCAGGGTCTCACACATGCTAGGCAAATGCTCTATTACTGAGCTACAGCCCAGTCCAGGTGCTCAGTTTTCCAAACCGTGACAAATAGATCAGGTGTCATATGGGCTGCTTGACACTGTATTCATGGTAGCTGCTGTTAAATTCTATGAATTACAATGCAGCCTCAGAAATTTCAGACTGTCTTTTGTAGTAGAGAAAGCTCTTATACTTCAAATTCCTGGGATTAACTTCAAAACTAAGGGAGATCCCAAATGAAAACAAATTTGTGGATCTTCTATAAAGTATGTCCCCTTTCTAACACAAAACCTACAACTTGTATCTATCTCCAGATATTCAAGTTGCATTGCTAAATAATATGACCCCAAAAGTCTCATTACCCTGAAACTTATGTTGAAATCCAAAAATGTAGATCTGACACCCAGTAGTATTCTAGTGGATAATGCTTTAGAAATTAGAAATTGTCTTCTCTCTACTTGTTCTTCCCAAGTCTCCTCTATCCTGCCGTTGGGATGGCTCAGAACATTCCGTATTATAGTACTCTACTCCAAGAATGAGTGCTCCCACATTGTCTATACACCACAGGAAGACAGAGGATACATCTTATTCAACATCAAACATACTCCCCAGCCTAGAAGGAGATCTCATAAATATTTTTTGGAATAAATGAATGAATAAAATGCTAAGCAAGCTAATTCACAGAGCTGGAATCATGGTCAATCCTGTCTTGGAATTACAGGTCTCTGAAGTCAAATTTCTCAGATTTTCATGGCTAGAGAGATGAACTCTATTTCTGCTGTCTAAGCCTTGAGGGATCTAGGTAAGCAGCTACAATGAGTTATGCTCTAGCCAGAAGGGAAAACTCTTGTGTTTGGCTCTCTTTATGGGCTGATGTGTACTGGAATTACTATCTTCTAATTGGAATGATAAAAATCTGGAATTCTGGCAGAAATTTGGGAGGCAAAGATAGAGCCTTCTTTGGTGAAAGGTAGTGAAGTCTACATAGGTTAGGCATTTTTTTTTTTTGTACCAGGAATTCAACTCAGGACCTTGAGCTTGCCAGGTAGGCACTATGCTACTGAGCTAAACCCCTGACCCTGGTTAGGCACTTCTATAAGGTGCAAGCAACTCCCTAAGATTCTGCAAAGTGAGAAAACATGCAGTTTTTTGGCCAGTGTCCTCTGTGCTTGTGTATTTTTTCTGGAGTAGAAGAGGTAGCTGGTGGAAGACCAAAATTCAAGAATTAACTTTTATCCTAGCTATCTATTTTTACTTGGCTAAAAATATTAGCACCCAACCATAAGATAAGTTGAATATTATGAAAACAGATTTGACTTAATCAGAACATGTCTGTAAGAATCCAGAAAAAAATTTAGTGCTATATAGTCATGAAATAACTACAACATTATAAGGCAAAAAGTAATTCTTTTAGAAATTATGGTATGACTCACTCAGTGTCTTGTCAAGATAAATATTTATAAAGCATATATGTATTATGAAATATTTTATAATACTTACACCTTCTGCATATTGCAAATATCGTTCATTAGTTTCCTGTTTACCAAATGTCTCTAAAAACTTTTGACGGTAAGCAAGAACCGTATCAACATGTGTTTTGTATTTTACAGCCAATTCCAGTGCTCTACAATGAGAAATGAAACAGGTTATTAGTCTTGCTTGTGTCAGACTGCTCAGACAGTAGAGTTCTAGAGTTAGGGGAAAGGACAAATGGTTTTCTCCTCTGCTTATCCTGAACTATGAAATGTCATTTTTTTACCTTACTCATCTTGCAAATTCCTATTCTTTAAGGTCCAAATTCAACACAACTCCTCCTTCCTGACAACTCTTCCTGTAGAAACAAATATTATCTATGTCCAGATCATTTATACACACGATTATTATAGCCCTAACTGTGTGTTATAAGTGAGTCTATTACCTCTACTAGCCTTTATACTGATGAAGGGAGATACGGGTTTCATTTCTCTTTCGTGAGTACTACAGATGCCATGTGTCGTAAATGTTCACTGAAAAACTTTTTGAAATCACAAAATTTAAGTGCATGAACTTCATTTGAATTCAACTATCCTGATCATCTTTATAAGCTGACAATGAATTTACAGAGTTCAAAATGGATAGCCTTGTTATTACTACAAGTTAAAAAATCTCATGAAATAAACTGAGGTTAAGAAAAGTCTGACAAAAAGCCTTTTGTCATTTGAGCTTAGAAAAAGTAAGCAGCCATTTAAATCGATCTCTAGCTATGCAACTAAGTTATTTTTAAAGTAATATTTTATTAAAATAGGAGAACCAAGTGACTCAATGAAAACAGAGATACAACACCAAAGATACAAAATACATACACTACTGATAATTTTCAAGGAAACAAAGAGATTAATACTTAAGTCAAGGCTTACTTGTACATGTACATTTTGGTCAGCACCTTAGCCACTGCAATCCTGTACATAACTTATTACTTAGGAACAGCCCCGTGGAGTACAGCACTCCTATAATATTTGTGTCACCTTCTTTTCAAGTATGGATAACATCCAGCATAATAGTCAAAAGCACACTATTTCTCAAGTTCTCTTGCTTTCTGTCATGACTCCCAAATAGTCCAGTCATGATTTATCAAAGCCAACTATTATAATCTGTCATTTTAGACAAAACTTAATACTGACTACATATTTTGCAACCTGTCATTCTTCAGTAGGAAAATCTAGTTTATTCTTCGTACACACTGGTTTACCCTACATTAACCAAACTAGTCCCTTTCACAAGTAGTTTAGATATGCTGTATGTCTTGACAGCTGATAAACAATTGAGATATTAAAGACATATAAAAAATAACAAACGTAAGTCATGCATAATACAAATAGCAGGGCCAAGGATTTAGCTCAGTGTTCCACCGCCTGCCTCACAGGCGCAAGGTCCTGAGTTTGATCCCTGGTATCAAAAAAATACAAACAGCAATGCCAAATTAAACAAAATTCTTTCTTATAAAAACATACTGACATATACTATTACTGCTAAATGCAAAGGTCAGTATTTGCTACTCATCATGGACTCTCACAAATTTCTATCATTTTTCTGTGATTTTAATAAGTCAAAAAAAAAGTTAGGCTGAAGGGAATGTAAAAGTGTTGGAACAAAGAAATGAAAGTGGAAAATAGAAGAATTCAAAAAGCAATTTAAAGGCTCATAAGAAGAAAAATGAAAGTAAAAATGTTTCAATCCTTCTCTCTCCCATATAATTTCCTTCTATATCTGTCTTACTTTTCTTGTTGCTGAGACAAAATACCCAATACTCAAAGTTAAAGCAGGATTTATTTAGCTTACAGTTTGTAGCAGTTTCAGTTCATAGTTGCCTGGCTCCAAGACAGGGTGGCATGGCAGAGGGATATTACAGAAGAGAAACAGTTCATGGCAGACAGAAAGCAGCAAGCACCAAGCACCCAGCTACAATAGCAACCTTCTTTCTGTTCCCTATATTCTATTCAGGCTACTTGTACTTAGGGCAGGTATCACTCACACCAAAGTAGGGAACCCTTAATCCTAACATCACATCATGAATCAATCCCAGCATCACATCCTTAATCCCAGAATCACACA